CTCCCGTCTGTTTTGGAGCAACATGGGGGGATGGTGACGTCATCGGGCGAAATTATAATTCTTAATATCTCATAAACTAAAGCTGCACAAACGCTACTTTCACCGGAACAAACGAGCACTAACGAAGCACTAAAAAAATAGACCACTCCCGTCTGTTTTGGAGCAACATGGGGGAAATGACCTTTGGATGAGCTAAAAATTAATCTTTAATATCTCATAAAGCAAAGCAGCACTAACGAAAATTTTAACGGCACAAACCAGCACTAACGGAGCACTAACCATTCAGACTATTTGCTTTAATTTTGGAAGTGGGAGGAAGAGGAGCGGGGTGAAGGTTGCTGCGCGCGCACTAGCTGCGGTGAAGAGACGTGCGTGCTCTTTAGGATGTAGAGGCGGAGAAGGAAGGAGTGTCCGAGGAGGAGAGTTGTTTTTGGAGGAGGAGAGGAGGAGCAGCTCCTCTCAGCTCCGCAGCTGCGGCAGGAAATTACAGAAAAGTAACTTTGTACATATTTTTCTCTCTGTGCGCGCCCTTGTGACGCGCATGCGCTCTTCCAGCCCTTCAGCCCCGCAGAATGGACCGATTGTCAGCGTGCTCTGTAGTGACGTCACTGAGAGGACCAGCAGGGAGCGCGCCTCGGCCCTGATGGGTGAGTGTCCATCACGGTGACGTCAGAAATCCTTGATAGTCCGAACTGTCGGTTCTGTTCAGAATCCAGGTTTTCAGAGGTGATCCAGGAGAGCCTGAGGAGTTTCTACTGCAGAAAAAGTAATCTGATTACTCTGCTCTCTGTTTGGAGTATCTCAGAGTTCTAATGTGCATTTCAAATGAACAGTGGATTAAAAAAAACTGCAGTAAAAGTAATCAGATTACTCTGTAATCTCTCAGTTCTAACGTGGTGATTCTGGATAAGAACGGGGCCAGTCCAGAAAGGAGCTTCTCCTACCTAAAGGTTGGGATGTAAAACTGAATGCAGTGATTTGAAAATCTCATAAGCTCTTTTGTTGTTTTACAACGGAACATAGTCAACAATTCAAATATTTAAGAAATTGTACCAGTTTTGGATAAAAAAAAATACATTTTATGGCAGCAACATGCCTTTAAAGAGTTGTTTACCACTGAGATTTTTCATTTCTTGTTGCACTGAATGTTTTTAATTAGTGAGCGGTCTGAACTGACCTTGCTGTTGTCATGACTGCAGTATGACTGAAACCAGATCTAAAAGGTATTCAAAACCAGGGATGGACCCTTTGGATCAGTCAGCATTCCTGTTTATGCCCTCCCTCATTCTTCCAGGCTCCTCTGAGAATGGGTCACTTTGCCCTCTTGATGGCTGCATCCAGTTTCCTCCTCAGTGTTTCCAGCACTGGAAGTCCATCCATCCATTATCTTTTACCCACTTCTTCCATTTTGGGTCATGGGGGTTGCTGGTGGCCATGTCCAGCAGTCACTGTGCGAGGGGCGGGGTACACCCTGGACAGGTCTCCAGTCCATCACGGGGACATATAGAGACAAACGAGACAAACAACCATTCACTCTCTCTCTCACCTAGGGACAATTTAGAGTTACCAATCAGCCTAACATGCATGTTTTTGGTCTGTGGGAGGAAACTAGGGTACCCGGAGAAAACCCATGCACGGAGAGAACATGCAAACTCCACCCAGAAACGCCCCTGGACCGAGATTTGAACTGGCAACTTTCTCACTGAGATCCCGATGCATGCTCAGTAATCCAGGTAGAAAAATCCAAAAAAGTTCAATCTGGTCCTCTGGACATTCAAAAAAACAAAAAACAAAACAAAAAAATGTAGATACGTTTCATCTCTCATCCGAGAGACTTCCTCAGTCTGAGGAGCTGTATGCAGCTCAGTCTCTTAAATAGCACCTTCTCAGAGTGGATCAACCAGTTTTGCTGCTGACAACCAAAACCAGCTGCTCACATGCTCAAGAAGGACCATCAGCCTAACAATGGATCATTAGCACACTGATGGCTGTTTACTATTCACAGGGGGCTGAGTGATACTAGCAATCACAGCATTGTAAGAGGGGGACAGTTGAACCCGGAGGCCTCCACCCCTGTTTAATGATGGACGATTTCTTTTCACAAAGATGGCCTCCTTTACTCCTCTCTCAAACCATCGTTCCTCTCTGTCCAGGATGTGAACATCTTCATTCCTGAAAGAGTGACCGCTGGCCTGGAGATGAGTGTAGACCGCAGAGTCCTGGCCTGATGATGTTGATCTTTTGTGCTGGGCCATCCTTTTGGCCAGTGGCTGTTTAGTTTCCCCGATGTAAGACTGATCACAGCCCTCCTGACACTGATAGGCTGATGGTCCTTCTTGACCATGTGAGCAGCTGGTTTTGGTTGTCAGCAGCAAACTGGTTGATCCACTCTGAGAAGGTGCTATTTAAGAGACTGAGCTGCATACAGCACTTCAGACTGAGGAAGTCTTTCGGATGAGAGACGAAACGTATCTACATTTTTTTGCTTTGTTTTTATTTTTTTTGAATGTCCAGAGGACCAGATTGAACTTTTTTGGACTTCTTACTGAGAGGCAGCAGCTCCGCCAGTTGCACCACCATGCTGCTCCTTTGCCCTTAAAGACCCCACCTCTCTACTTAGGCAGTTTTCTGGTTAGGATAAATGCTTTTGTGAGTAGCTGCTTCACAACCTGAACACCGGACAATGTGTGAGAACCAATAAGATGGCTTAATGGTCAGAGACGCCAATGTGTAGTTGGGGCACTGCCTTGTATGCCTCCTTTTTATTGGTGTAAACATAGTAAAAGTTGTGTTGTTTTCTTTGGTTGCTCTTAAAAACCACTGATTAAAAAAACAGATATAGGACATTTGGTCAATTCAAAAAGCATTCAATACAAAAACAACTGGACTTTATTTGTAACAGAAGACGTTTCTCTCCTCATTCGAGGAGCTTTCTCAATTCAATGAGCAGTGAGTGAGAGATTCAGGTTATAAGGCTGAGTGAGATAAGACACACACATATGTAGATTGGATTTCTGGAAAGTCCGGTTCATTTGGGGAGGTGTGAACCCACCATCGGACTCTGTCACGGAACAAAAAGGCGAACTCTGGCCCGGGCTAAAACCTAGGTCTCGGTCCGGTAGAAGAGAACTCCAGCACGGTTCGAGTACAGTGTGAATGTAAACAGACCGGGCCCCGCTCCACAAGCAAGAAGTGGAGCACAGCGCAGGGCAAACAAACATGCATTTCTCTTACCTTATATGGAGCCGTCAGCTGCCTTGTGTGAAAAACAATATTCTCCATGGTCTTCTGCCTCATCTTCTGCTCATGCTGAGTCTATTTTTGAAAAATGACAAAATATAACTCCTAAAACTGCTAAAACTTGAGCCCACTCTGTTTTTGTTTTTATTTCCAAAAGAAGTGTCTTCAGAGGTTTTTGTGTTGTTTCTTTCAGTAGTTCTTGGTGCAGCGCCTCCACAGGCGAGCGGGGGTACAGGTTGGTTCAACAGGTTGGCTCGACTACACAGTGCAGTGTGAATGCAAACGCACCAGCTCAAATGTAAACAAAATGTCATGAATATTGGTCCTGAACTGAACCGAGTCTACCAGACTATCAGGTGTGAAAACAACCTCAGTGTTTAGTCTTGAGTTCTCTGATGAGATCTTGTAGTTCTTTAAATGCCAGACTAACATTAGAGCTTGGTGGGACACAAGCAGCAACCGTGTACACCACCGCAAACACACATAAAACAGGTGACAGAGATAAAACCATACAGACTCAGAACAGTAGCTGTTCACCAGACTGCAGTTTGCATACCAGCACTTCGTGTTGTGTTACAAGTTCGGTAAAGATTGTAGTGATGCAAAAAAGGTTCGTAGGCTTAATAATCCAGGTAGACAACAACAAATAAAAAGGTTAAATCATTTCATCTGGACCAATTTCTTTAAGGGAGAAACATTTTGTCTTCAATCTGGAAGACTTCATCAGTCTGTGCCCTGCCAACCAGATCTGTTCCATAAGTAGCCTTCATTGCTGTGTTTCAAGTCATCCTCCTGTTGAAATCACAGAAGCAGGCTTTTAACACATGCAAAAGGACCCATTCGTCCAAAACAATCAATCATCATGTATAACAATCAAATGTTTTAGGCCAGTTGGCCAACTTGCTCCTCACAGAAACAGTCTAAACAGCAATGAAGACTACTTATGGGACAGATATGGTTGGCAGGCTGCAGACTGATGAAGTCTTCCGCATTGAAGAAGATTCTCCCTTAAAGAAACTGGTCCAGATGAAATGATTTAACCGTTGTTGTTGTTATCTACTTGAATGATTGAACCTACAAAACCTTTTTTTCTGAGCCATTTTGGCCTTGGTGTCCTCAGGCTATTTCTGTGAGTAGCAAGTCGGATAAAAATAAACTACAAAGCAGTTTATCAAGGTTGAGTCACATCCTCTGGACAGGTTTTTTTGTAGAATCACGTTGCAGATGATGTGGGCAGAGAACTCATCCAGAGGACCTGACTCAACCTTGTTAGATTTATCTACCTGGATTACTGAGCATGCATCAGGCTGCAAAGCAGTTTCAACACTCAGGATTTCTTTCAAAGGTACAATTTAATGAATCATATTAACAGAGATCGTGGGATGGTAAGAATCTGGTTATCAACTCAGTATGTCAGTTAGGTAGAAATAGTCAAAGGAATCAGGATCAGTTGAAAGAAAAGTTTACAAGACAGTTGTGATACCAGCTATGTTATATGGTCTGGAGACAGTGGCATTGATAAAAAGACAGGAGAAAGTTTTGGAAGTAGCAGAAATGAAGATGTTGAGGTTCTCCTTAGGAGTAACAAGAATGGATAGGATTGGGAATGAGATCATCAGAGGTACTGCACAAGTTGAACCACTGAGAGATAATGCTAGAGAGGCCGGATTGAGGTGGTTTGGACATGTCCAGAGGAGGGACAGTGGGTATATTGGTAAAAGGATCTTAGAAATGCAGTTGCCAATAAAAAGACAGAGGAAGGCCAAAGAGAAGATATATGGATGCAGTTAGAGATGACATAGAGGTAGTTAGAGTGAGGACAGAGGATGCAAAGGACAGACTGACATTGAGAAGGATGACTCATTGTGGTGACCTCTGAACAGGGAAAAGCCAAAATAATAATAATAAGAAGATAAAAGCTTTAGAGTGATCAGTTTCTCTGAAACTGATTAAATGAGATTGACAGATGAGAGTCTGCAATGAAGTTAAATTCAAAGCAATCTGCACCTCAGATAAATAATGTTAACCTACTTTTTATGTATATAAATGGTTTTGTACAGTGTCCTGAGATGACTTATGTTGTGACTTGGCGCTATATAAATAAACTGAATTGAATTGAAGCTTTAGAGTGACCATAATATATACCCGTTGGTTCTGCTGAGATCTCAGTCATGAAGATAGTTCTTTACTTTGCAAGAACCTGCTTCGGTCTGTATATGTATCAAAATATGCCTCGTCTTTTGGTGTCAAGTTTCGGTGATTGGCTGTAATGTTACACATGGTTTCAACCACATGTAAAGTTACAGCCAATGCCAGTGCTGCAACGCATTAGAAACCAGGAAAAACACATACATGGTTATGCCCGCAGACAGGGTTCACATGGTTTCTAAGGCAAGCCATAATATGC